CTTGGCGTGATCCTAACATAGGAGCAAGACTGCCACCGACATTCCGAGCACTGCAGGAGGCCAGCAGCCAGTGCCAAGCTGGGAACCTTCATCTTGTGTATCTCTGGCAGATGCATTTTCAAGACAGGGTGGGAAGAGATGGTAGATGGGAATGGGATGGTTGTATCTATTCTTGATACAGTGGCCTAGAGTGGAAAAGCTGGGCTCTGATCTAGAATCCTGGATTGCTGTCATGTCCTACACAGGTGGTTGGTAGGTGTGAGCGGTTGTTAAGAGGTTGCTAGTGGGGAGCAGAACCCACTGGAGGACTTCACCCACAGCTTAAGGCTTAAGCATTTACTCAAGGGTCAGGTTCCTTTTTTTCTCTGTGCTCTTCCCTGCTGAGGCTTCCAGGGAGAGTCTTAGCTGGAGAAACATCAACAGCTTCCCTGCTTCTCCCATAGCATAGGGGAAGGAAAGGGAGAGAGCAAGAGAGAAAGGTGGAGGTGAGCAGCTGAGGTGTGGGGTTCTGTGCTCCTTCCCAGGGCAGAGGGAAGCAGGTGGAGGGGTTGTTTCATAGCCAGTGCCCTCTGTTCTCCTCTGTCCTGTTCTGAAAAGGAGGTAGAAATGTAGCAGAACCAAGGAGTGTCCGCTCCCTTGCTCGCAGTGGAAATGGAGCAAGGCCAATGCCAAGTGCTGCCTCTGTTCTCTGAGGTGGTTCTGGTCAGCTCACCCTGACTGGTTCCCAGCAGAGCCCCTTCATATTAGCTGGGGAGTCCCAAGCATTTTTATGCTGTCATTTGTAAGAGTGCACCTTGATCAGCTCTTAGGGAAAAAAAAAAAAAAGATACAGAGAGCTACTAGTCCCTGGATCCCAAACTGAGAGGGATGCTTGCCTCTGGAGCTCAGTCCCAGAGCGATGGTATTTCCAACACTGGCAAGTAGCTTAGCGTTTCTTTCCTAGTGGATGTATGTGGATGTAGCATTTTGTGTTAGGTTTTCCTCCTCTCCATGTGGGCATGGTGTGCCTACAAGTTCAGGCATCACCCATGGGACCCATGTTCTTTACCGGCCCTACTCTGAGCACATTTTCCTTGTTAGTTCTGCATGCAAATGTGTGCTTCTTGTAGATAGCACACTGGTTATTTATTTTTTTAAAAATTTTCTTTTAATTTAGAGGCATATTTTTTGTCAAATTCTAATAACCACAGTTGTTGGGGGATCAAAGTATTCATAGCGCTGTGTACTTTTACAGAACATTGTCCATCTTGTCTTAGTATTTGACTTTAAGTGAGTAGAAACGTGTTGGCTATCGTGTCGCTTTTGATTCGTTCTTCCTAAAGGAGAGAGGACAGTTACCTAGTTACACTCAGCAGGGTCTGAGGAACAGACTGGAAATTTAAAAGGGAAACCTGAATACAAGCACTCCTGATGAATCAGTCATGTACCGACGCTGAAGCTGACTGCTGTGAAAGCATTCCTGTTTTTATCAAAAGTTACTTGCAGTAGGAGCACTTCAGCCCTCTCCATTGTGCCCTGCTGCTAGGTTATTGAATGTCTAGCTGAGGCCATGGATAAGTGCATACTGGGAAATGGATAGATCTGCGCATCTTACATTTGGCCCTGAAAATCCACCCGATGTGTGCTAACAACTCACTTTTTTCCTGGACCTCAACAGGTGCCAGCTGCTGCATTCACCATTCATTCCATACGCCCACATTTATTCGCATTTGGGGCAACCTTGCAGGGGCTCCGTGGCTGATGACCCTTCTCTCAGCTTCAATGTTTGGAAGCATCAGGATTGTATTTCCTGGATAAGAAAGCATTTCTGCTCTTTCAAAATAAAAAAAAAAAAAAGGATAAATTTCAATTCGGCATGACTCCTACAATAAAAGTGCCACAAATAAGGAGAACATCTAATAATTTACTTTGTCATGAAAACAGTGAGGGTGGCTCCCTGCTCCTCTAGCAACTGTGGAATACGCCACCCATGGAGATGCTCAAGGTGTGTTGTTGAACAGTGAACGACCGTGCTGGATTGCTGCCCCTGTTCAGTGCAGGCAAGGAAGCCAAGTCTGTGGTTCTGTCCTTCTGAAGGGTTCCCAAGACAAGGCAAGAGTGTTAGCTCACGTTTTTAAGAGTGGAAGCTGGCAACTAGATGACTTTCATCCCTTACATCCCCCCCCCACCTTCCTCTCCTCTCAGTTCTAGCCTAGGTGCTCGCTCTTCACCACAACTGACTGGCTTTTACTTCTCCGTCAGGTGGCTGTGCAGTAATAGCATGAACACGTATGAGAATTCACAGAACTAAAGGTTAGAAGCCTTTAGCAGCCTTATGTACCTTTTTTTTTTTTTTTAAATGGAAGGTGCCTGGCAAATTGAGCAGCCTTGATAGAGCAAGGTCAGATCCGTATTGCTTTACTGGAGCTTTGATTTCATTCTACATGACCCTCTTCACTTCTGGGCTGGCTCTGCCTTTCAAATTGGCTTATGACTAATGTAAATGTATATTCTTTCCTTTGTGCTAAAAGATTGCAAGTACAATAGAAATAGTTTCTATATTTACATTTTAATTTAGTGCTATTTGTTAAGGTTACTGCATCAAAATCTGTGCACTTAATCTTCTTGCCACCTTTATCACAGGACTACCATTTGCAAGGGGAGATATTTTTCCCTATGAAACTGAAGTTCAATCAATAGCTTCAGTGGATTAAGGTTATAATACATAGATTACTAATAGGCTAACCATAATCTCTGGTGCCACTGTCATTAGAGCAGCCCCAGCCCTTTCAGGCTGCTACTAAGTGTTTTGAAGAGCAATTGTCCATATACTTAGCAACAGATATGCCCCCTGAGTTCAACTGATCATTAAGGTAGGAAGGAATGACCCTCTCTGCCACTTGGGGATGACAAATGCCATTCAGGAAGACAGTGGGATACACATCCCCTTTGACAGGCCAGCCTGCCTCATGCAAATGCTCTTGATTTATCGACAAAATAGCACAACCCTCATTTGCTCTTCGTCCCAAGACACACTGTCATGCCAGGCAATCGGCAGAAATCTACTGATACACAGCATCTCTCTTCAGGGTTTCCAAGGCATCTGCCATCTTACCGAACAACCCTCATTGCCTAATATGTAGCATTTCTCAATCTCAGACATGTCACAAATGAAATCAGTTTCATTATCTCTGCATGGCAATTTAAGGCAAGGGGACAAGAGGTATTTTGACTCATCCAGGATCATGGGACATCCAGGATCTTAGGGACATGGTTTAGTGGTGGAATGGCAGGGCTAGGTTAACAGTTGGACTTGGTGATCTTAAAGGTCTTTTCCAATCTAAACAATTCTATGATTATACGATCAAGTTGAAGACCGTGACCGAGCAGCAGCCAGAGTCTAATGTTTGGTCTACTGGGAATTTCCTTTCAGATGGGCAGCTTTTAGCATTGCCTACCAATCTCAATTCCTGGTCCTGAACTTGGAGAGGTGATTTCCTAAGAAAACCCTGCAGTAAATTCCCATTATGCCCCACAATGGACACCTGAGCTACTCCAAAAAAAAAATGGAAAAACCTGGGTAAAGCCTGTGGGCTCAGCACAGCAATTTGGCTGCCACAAAGCCGGTGTATCAATAATTAGGTGCAAACAGTGTGGAGCTTGAGCTGGGAAACCCTGCCAGTCCCTGGCACGCTCAGCCTGGGGCTAGCCCAGGTGGCCCTTGGGGTGCAGCTAGCCACCCCACAGACAGCCCATGTGTGGATAAGCACTTGACCTCAGCCTCTGAGGATGGCCGTGACTATCAGCAGCATCCTCCTTCCAGCTCACTGGGCTGCCGCATCTCGGACACCATGGAACACACAGCCAGATGGGCAGGAGGCTTTTGTTAGGCAAAGTGGTTACAACAGGACACAGCTGCAATGATCTTCTATGAGCAGTGCCCAGTGAGCACACGTGCGAGTTCCTCTGTGGTTGTCGTTACTCCCTTCTCCTACAAGATGTAACTTCCGCAAGTAATTGGTTTGCAGCAGTGCTTTAGGAGGGCTTTCTAAGTGCCCTTTCAGCCAGCTAGCGCCCTAGACCACAGAACAAGCAATTCCTTCTCTGCCACTCAAGTGTGGTGTTGCACTGACACTGCTGAATATGTCAAAACCCTCTAAGCAATCAGCTGAACGCCCACAAAACCTGTGACTTGATGACATCATGCCTCTTCCTCCTTCAATCTACCTTTGCAATTGTTTCTTACAGAAACATCTACATTTTTTTTAAAATCACTTAGCAATCTGGCAAGTACATACCCAGTTATTTTAAGCTTCTTTAAGGATTAACCATTATATTTAGTCTGCCTAAGATTGGAGTCTGTGTATCACCTGGTCTGTTATAATAGAAGATGCTGAGCACCCTTCTGTCGTCGTGAGTGAAATGTGCTTGGTACAACCCGCCTAGATACATAAATGATCTCAGCCGCTGTAGTACATGATTCATCACATCCAAGGAAAGTGGGATGGGATGTTCTTCCCACGGTGCAGGTAGGAACAGCAGAGGAACTGGGACACAGGCAAGTAAAGTGTCTTACCCAGAACCACACAAAAATGTTCTTAACAAAACTGAGGTTCAGACACTGGTTTCCCACATCTCAAGCAAATACCCTGAACAGGGGAGACTTCACAGAATTGGACTCGTGGTCTCATATTTCTTAAGACTCTATTCCATGCTGCTAAAGAAAACGATGGTTGGCACGAGGCTTTGTACTGTGTCTGTCCTTTCTCTGACACTCTGCAGTTTGCTAGACATGATTTGTGTGTGGTTTACCCTAACAAAAAACCCTTGCTGGGAATATATGTTGATGTTGAGTAGTGGTATGTGGGACTGGAAAGAAACAGAATTCAGCCTCAGCCCTGACTTCTTGGGGACTTGAAACAGCTGGACCACAACTGCCATTATCTCACTGCCAGAAACAGAATGCCTTATGAGGAAGTGAGAACTGAATGTGACTGCATGTACCAAAACAACTCTGGGAGATGCAGCAGTTGCTTGAAAGGGATGGTATGTAAAGGCTCTCTCATTTATAGAAATGCTGTTTTCTTCAGAGGAGATGTGAGCTGATGGCCTCTGTCTCCAGGGCTGTTGGTCTAGGGCGGCTGTTTTCTTCCTCTGTGGAGTTGGAGGTGATACAGGAGCAACTCTTCACCTTGAAAGCCCTTCGCAATTATTAATTTTTTTGAAGAAGGGATCAGCATCTGGAAGCAGGCAAGTATAAGATGAAACATGGCCTTGCAACTAAATTGACAGTGGCCACCCAGATCTGGGCACAAAGTAAATGGGTCCATGCTGATACTTCAAATCCATAGACTGTCAGAAAAGGTTACTTCTCAAAGTATCAGCTGAAGAAAGGGTCCACAGTCATTCTGTTACAGGCATTTGGCTGTAATGAGGCAGTAAATTCTGTTATGCTTTGCAGTCACAGGTGTTGTCAAGGCTTTCTTTATTCACGTGGTCAACAGAGATATGGGAGAAATTGTCAACAACTTTGGAGGCTTCTACAGAGAGCTCACCAGCAACAAGCAACTCTGCTGGGTAAGATGCATTGGGGGTGCTATTGTGAAAAGGATCATAACAAACACATAAGTTGTACATTTTTCACAAAATATTTCTGGTTTTATTCTTGGAAATTTGGAACATATCTGGTGCTAAGGCAAGCCAGTGTGAAAGTGACCACTCAGAGAGTTCCAGGTGGGTATTTGACACAAGCCACACATTTCAGCATCTACTACTTCTGTCATTTTTAACCAATATAGGTTCCTCTGTTTTTCCAGTATCAGTGACTTTTCCCCTTGACGTGTTATCAAAAGTGCTGTCCTCTAATCTCTGGTGAACAAAATATCATTTAACAGAAACAGAGACATTGGTGAGCACCAAGCCACCGTGGTGGATGTACATTTGTTTGCTCAACAGATTGGACCAGAGAAGGGTGCTGTGCATTTGGCCACAGCTGCTGTCCTGAATGCTCTGTGGGCCAAGCGAGAGGGAAAGGTAATGCTCATGGATCTCAGTATAAGAATGCTCATTAATTCAGAGAGTTTCCCTGCTCCTGGTTGCCCTCATTTGCACATCTGGTCTTGATTTTGCAGTAATTTATACATATGTCTAGCTTTAAAATATCAAATAAAGTACAGGGATTGCCGAGTTCTTGGAGACTCTGCACATGCTTAATTTTTGCAGGATGGAAGATTGCAGCAACTGCACAGTGCTTAGTGGTGGAATTGGTCAGAACCTTTCACAGGCATTTTGTTGGAGCTCTGGCATTTCTGAAAGAAAAGATTTTTGCCTAGTCCTGCTTATCAAATGTTTCTCTGTATGACCTTGTCTTGATTTCATCTTTCTTACTTGGAGAATTTAATCTGAGATTTTAGTCTTTTAGCCACTTCCCTACTGAATATGCTGTTGATCTGGGAGCCAAATCTTTTATACTTACCATGTTGCTGGATATTAAAAATAACCTATTTGGGCAGTGATGTGAGCAGCCATGAAGGCAGCACAGTTAGAAGGGGAAATTACTGAACAAAAGATATTGTCTGCTCAAAAACACTGACAGAGAATGGCCTGCCAGCCTGGAACTGCGAGCCTGAGGACTAGCCCTGTGAACTGTAAAAAAGCATCCTTGAAAAGTACAGCTGGCCTCTTTGAAGTGCAGCTGGGGTACCTAGAAACCAGAGACATCCACAGATACCACTGATAACCACAAAACAAGGGACTGTAAGGGCAATTTATTGTCTGAGAAGGTAGAAAACAGTCTGAAAAAAATAAAATTGCTCTGAAGGAACAGAAAACAGCATCATCTGTTGGCTGTTACAGGTGAAAAATAGAAATTAACAGCATCAGCTGTTCAATGTCCTACTCCCTCTTATGTCTCTGTGATTTTAAAAGGACTTAATTTCTACCCAAAATGGAGCCTCTCTCTTTCTGAGAACTTCCTGGTTGAATCCCACATGAACTTGCTATGAGCTCTTGGGCTCTTCCCTGGGACACCTGCCCGAAAGCAGACTCTGTGACATGGGTTATTTTGGAACTGGGATTCTGCCTGTTGTGTTACTGGCTTGGGCTGTCCTCCCCTCTTTTGGGGATGGTTGGGTCCCCCCTCTGGGACTGGTTTTCTCCCCCCTGTTGGGGTGGTTTGGCTCCTTCTGAAGTCCAATTCACTTCCTATCAATATTGTATATATTCATATAAGTAATCTATCGTAAGTATATCTGCCGTTATATTGTTGATAAGTTTGCTTGCCTGATGTAGCAATCTATAATAGTATATACTAATCTAGTACTATAGTAACGGTGGTATATAAATACTTGGTTGGTGCTGTTATTGGTTGTACTGCAATAATGATTGATGCTATTATTGATTGATACCATACTATTGTTTGATACTATATGATTAAATGATACTATATTATCAATTGCTGATAGTAATTTGTAATAACTTGATATACATTCATTCATATTTGCTTTATTAAACACAGGTATCTGCTAGCAGTGACTTTTCTGGTATTTGTAATAATAATAATTGTGTAATCTGTAAAAAATAAAGAAATGTAGAGGATAAAGCCTATGTGTCCTCGTGTATTGTGGAATCCTACCAACCCATGGTTACTATCTGTACACACCTGTAGGCCAGGTAACCCTTTAGGTCATGACACGCAGAAATTGGCCTTTGCTGTGTGAGCTTAAAACGCTTGGTATAGAATCATAGAATGTTTTGGGTTGGAAGGGACCCCTAGAGGTCATCTAGTCCAACCCCCCTGCAGTGAGCAGGGAGACCACTAACTAGATCAGGTTGCTCAGAGCCCTGCCCAACCTGGTCTTGTATGGTGGAGTCCTAGTCCAGAACTAGCGCTTAGAACCCTGCAGGAGGACAAATAATACCTGGTACAATGTTGCTGTGGCCATATCCTGACATGCACAGTTGGACATGCCTGCTGTTTGCAGACCTTCTGATTTAAGAGGACAGAAAGAGCAAAAAGCTGTAGCTAGCACTGGCTGGAGTCGCCGCTGTGCACGCTCATGTACCACGTGGCTCAGGCCATGCCACCGCACTACCCTGACTGTAGAGCTTGCAGGGGGAGAGTTGGCTTGAGTCCCACTGGCTCAGGTCTGCCAGCATCCACTCTTTGCTTTGCTTCTGCTCTGTTGGATTGAGCCTTCACGTATCATTGCTTGCAAAAGCAATCAGCAGCCTTCAGCTTGCCAAAGTCTGAGAGCATAATACAGCCCCAAAAAGACGCTCATCAAAAAATTCACAAAGAGACATCTTATATGTCGAAAGGGTTGTTTGTATGATAATGATTTCCAGCAAGGTGGGGGGGACACACGACAGAGGGAAGGTCACCATGCCAGATAGCTGGTATGAAGCGCTATTTTTTTTTTCCGTTTTTAGTAATCACCTCACCAATGTTCATAATGAAACCAGGTTAAGAAGGATGCTCAATCCTTAATGATTTTCAGGGGAAAGTGTCAAACATTCTTGCTCGGGGTTGATAACCACATTGCTTTGGTGTCAGTAATTAATTTTGTGTGCCAAATGTAAACATGCTTGCACTTCATGACACTTCCTCATAAAGAAAAATACATGTTATCCCTTTTATGGCATCCATGTGGTTCCAGTTACTTAAATTGTTTGGTTTTCTGGTTTCTGTGGAAGTTCCTAGTTGACAAAGTAAGGAAATCTTATTATATCTCCAGTCTAAAGGCAACTGGGCCCTATTGGTTTTGACTGTATTAGAAGAGTACAAGTTTTAGTCGGTGTCCAAATTAAAATGGTCTTACAGCTCATTTCAGACAGAAGCTGTTTCCCTGGTGGTGTGTGTTACTTTCTGCTCAGAGATGCCCTTCCTTCCCAACGTGCCCTCTTCATGTGTCTACCCTCATGCAGAGATGCACACTAGCCCCTCATCTGAGGAAGCTATGCAGTTTGTCTGCCATTCAGTTTGTGCTGCACTGGTGACTTTTTGCCATATAAATCTTTGTGTTGGGCTAGCAAGGAGATCATGCTGTTCTCTGCTTCTTTCAAGGATTTCTCTGGTTTGCAGTTCTCTTGCAAAGAAATAGGGAGAAGAGGGAAGGGCTTATTCAGCAAAACTGACCTATTTGATTAAAATAATGGGTTTCAAGGAAAAAGAGAAGTCAAAACACCTCCACTCCTTCACTTTCCTCAAAGGACAGTCTTTGAGGGACTATTTAAAAAAATAATCCTCTGTTGGCTAAAACGCAGCCTGACTTGAAACCATACTCATCTGCTTCAGAAAAGCAAATGTTGACGCATGGATATCTGGCTTATACAAGATCCTGTGCCTGGCTGGGCTACTCAGACAGCAGTTACACCAGGTTTGAATCTTCAATCTTATAGTAGTAAGATTTTAAATGGCATGTGAAGTGGGGAAATTCTAACAGATGATGATCAGTTCTCACCGTTTGCTTCTGAACACTTTGAAAAAAAACAACTCTAAAGTTTTGCTGGATGCATTAAAAATGTAGCATTGCATTGCATACACTTTGAGAGGCAAAAAGAAGGTCAAATGCCATTTAACTAATTTTCCCAGTAAGGCAGAGTGTTACAGACCTGTCTATGATCAAGGATATACCCAAGGAATATGAGTACTGAAAACAAGGTATTAAGGTAGAAATGGAAGTCTCTTTCTGTTGGTATATTGCATGTAACAGTGAGTTTGTGTGGGTGCAGCTGTATAGGTTTAAGCAAGGAGCTTATGCACATGGGGATACCAGGAGAGTGATGTGAATTAACCAAAAGTCTGATGAAAACACACAAAATCTGTGCTTGGCTAGCTATGTACAGAAGCACAGTGCCCTTAAACTGCAGTAACTTCAGAGATGAGAAATAGGGATGTCTCCTTCACAGGCAACATGAACCTCAGAAGTTTTGTAATTGCAGGTTTCTTCTAGAACTGCTGGTTGCATTGGCTTTGAGGGATGCTCTGAAACTGTCAGCAAGCAGAGGGCCCTGAGCTTCCTTCATAAAGCAGCATCCTATTGCCAGAGAGAGTTGCACGTGCTTGGCCTTCTGTGAAATATTGTGAAAACTTTGGACAGTTTATTGGTGTCAGATTTAGTTAATACATCTGGGATTTATCTTCTGGGAAATATATGCCTTGGTGTGTCCAGAGAAAGTGTTGCCAAGCCATGGGATGTTCATACCTGGATTAGAAAAATATATCATATGTTACAGTTAGCTGGCTTGAGGGGTTTGGTTCAGCTGGATGCTATTCATATATCCGATCTCATTTTCTGATGTTTTTCTGCTACCTCCTAGGAAGAAATAAAAAGCTTATTCTTATTCTGAAAATGTGTAAATTAATATTATTCCAGATGCAGTGTGGTAGAGTTATTTGGAGATGTATAATTGATGTAACTTTGCTTGTGGTTATGCGCATAGGCCTTGAGAGTATTACTGTTCCATGTTTTATGCTTTGAACAGATGGACTAACCTAACTTTTCCAGTTCTATGATTTGGGCAGTGATGACTTTGCTTCTGTATCTCCCTCAGACACTTCCCCTTCTACCACTGCATAATGCTGCATTGCAGGAAAACAGTAATGGTATGGCAAAGCTGAGGGCTGATCACAAATGAAGATAAACGTGTTTCCATTGATTTGTGAAAAAAAATAATTGTTATTTTATTTTCAAAGTAGGATGAAGGTTACTCACAAGGGAAGAGAAGTAATAAGAAAGTTCTTTCTGTAAGACAGTGATGCTGAAATTGTAAATTCTAGTTTATGGATTCCAGTTTACTGGTGCATTAATCATAAAGAAGTGATCTATATCTTGTTCCAAATATGCATCTAAGTTTGAAGTAAAGGTGGGTGCAGATCTGCAGGATGGTATTTGTAGCTGCAGATTTATACAAGAAATGATTGGCCCAGACAAAATAACAGTGAATATAAATTTTTGCTACTGTACTACATTATTTTCTATTTAAAAGCATTAGATGAAATATCTCTCATTATATACATTTCTTGACAAATATTTTTTTCTTCTATCTTCAAATCCAGCATAACGATGGCAACAAATGTTGATATATATCAACAAAGAGCAGTATTGGACGTGACCAAAGTAGATGTATTTACTAAGATTTTTATCCTGTATTTCTGTGCCCACTTCCATGACTGTCTTCTAGAAGAGTTAAAGTGCCTCTTCTATCCAGGGAGGCTTCCAGAGGAAAGCCTGTTAATGTTTTTTCACCCATGTTTTGCCAAAAACAAACCAGAAAAGAAGTCTTTCAAACTAAAATATTTGAATGAAAAGGAGTAATTAGATGGAAGTCACACATACATTTTGATTTGGAAATGTTACTCTGTTGACTGCTATGGGCTGGATTCTTTGCCCCACATGTTCCCTGACACCCTACAGCTGCTGACCTTCTGTGGGTGCTGCAGCGCAGCACGGGGCTTTCATGGGGTGCTATATATCATGAAATGCCGAACCAGGAACTCTGTGAATACAGGATGGCAAAGACCTGAAGAGCCTGCAGAGGAACTGTGGTGTCACTTTCAGATGCTTCACTTCTTGAAGGGAGAAAAATTATCCCTTGTGTGGGAGAGAACTGCTGCTTGAGGAACTCATCTTATTTAAACGGCTGCCATTTTTTTGTCAAGAAGCTTTTCTGCCGAAAATTTCAGGCAGCCATGTCCATGCTTTAGGATGCTTTACTCAAGTGTATGCTGCCAAGATACATTCATTCCCACAGAAGGCTCTGCTCTACTTCCTACAGCTCCTAATCTGCTTGGTTCAGACCCAGTCTGGATATTGCTGTAGTCACTGCAACTCAGTGTAAGTGTGGCCAAAAGTACAATACGGACAGAATGGCAATTCCAGCTTTTCATTTCCTTTCTATTTCCTGAATTTCTACCACTTCATATCAATTTTGCAGCTCTTTTTATGACAATTTGACAGAAAAAAAGTCAATAGAATCCTTCAGTGTATTTGATTCTTATTTTCCTTATCCCCAGATGCTGGATACAAACCAACAATGGGAAATAAAGGAAGCAAATAGAGTGGGTCACTAACCAGCTGAGTTTAAACCCTCATGGATTAAGAAGCCAACTTTTCCAGATGAGGACATGCATGTCCAGATGGGACATGCACCCATTCCAAAGGTTGAGGAGATAATTTTTTTCTTTTAATAATAATACAGTGACTTCAGTCAATACTGTAGTGTAATGTTGATACTGTTTCTGCACATATTCAGAGTTCAGGTTGAACTAGTTATTCAGAGTACCATTAAGTGTATTTGCTACAGGACCTTGACACACATTCTGCACCTGTATTCCCTTAAGTTTAAATAAATAGTTTGTTTCTAAAAAAAAAAATTACGTAAAAGGACTGCAATGCCTGCATGAGGAAGGGAGCCAACATTTAGTACGAAATGTGAATGGACTTTTTTTTAAAATGTGTGGTTGCCAGTGAAATTGGAATTTCAGTTCAGAATCTGTGCTCCCAACATGCTATACTTAGCAGCACTGTTAAAACCCCAGATGTATAGTATGTGCATTTCTTTACTGCTCTGCGCACCCTCTGATATAATCCTTTATGTTGCTGGTGGAGCAGAGAAAGCAGAAAAAAATCAATAAAAAGTTTTATAACACGTGTTACATTTTCTATAAAATGAGTAGAAAACAGCATGCTGAATCAACTGTTATTCCATCCTTTATGCTACTGAGTAACTCTGTTGGGAATTAGAAACCAGAAGCAAGCCTTGAATGTTTGTAATTTCCTTGCAGGCCTTAGCACTGCTAGGAACTGGTGTGGCAACCAGGGAACATGTAAGAATACGTATATGTGTTCTGGGCTTTTCCCTAATTACTACCTGTTTAATGCAACTGCAGTTTAACCTTTAGAGCTGGTGCCAAAACTCCTTTGCTTTTCTCACTCAAGTTAAATACTACAGCTGAAAATTACTTGGTATCTATTTCAGTTATTCCCTACCAAGGTTGCCTCCCCTCACCTTATCTCCCTGGTTCATTCTTCCCACACACAATTTCTGTGAACAACCTGGAAATATCTGATTTTTTTTAATTATTATTATGAGAGTAACTGCTAAAATTTCATATTCTTACAGCAGTGAGAAATATGAAAGAATGCACCCTTGATCATTATTGCACATATGAAAGGCAGAGAAGCAAGGCACGAAGTCCACACGGCTCCGTGGAGCACGCTGCAGCTCCATGAGACAACCTGGATAACATCTGTGCAGAGCAATGTGGGCTGGACAACGTGGTCTGTCGAGAGCTGCTGAAGCTGACATCCCCTGTAGCCCAAGGGTGATTATCACAGCTCCCATTTTGCTCTGTGGGTTTGGTGCTGAAGTGTTTTGCTCAGCACAGCAGCACATGTGTAGGCATGACCTTGCTGGGGCTCTATGGAGTGGGTTTTAGAGCGGAGAGGTTCCTGGCTCCTCTTTTTGTATCAACTCTATTTGTGCTGCACTAACTCAACTGTAGAGATCAAAATCCCAGAAAATCATGCTGTTAGCAAACTGTAGTTCATCCCCTCAGTGGCACTAGGGGCACTGTCAAGGGTGCAGGGAGGGCTGGGGAGCCAGGAGCCGAATAGCATGGCTGGCAGGGCAGGTGTGGGGTGGCAGCCAGGGTCAACTGAGAATGTTGCCAGATGAGGTCATGGTGAGGAGACAGCTCCTGAGGGCAGGGCCTGGCCCAGTGACAGGCTGTATTGGGTTTCTGTGGCAAGGTCTTGGTAGTGGGGGGGCTACAGGGGTGGCTTCTGTGAGAAGCTGCTAGAAGTTTTCCCTGTGTCCGCTGCTTG